GAGTTTTGACTCGGTCTTGTCTTTGTCTTGAAGGAGCGTTGGCTCGGTCTTGTCTCAGTCTTGAAGGCGCTTTGACTTCACAAATAGTAAGACTTTTTGAGGTTGAGATCTTTAAAGGTCATATATTACACAAAAACTATTACACACTTTAAGCCATGTCATAATGCTGTTACCTCATCAAAAACAGACCTGTTGTGTTTTGTTTTGTTCACAAATGAGTAATCCTTTATTATTAGTCTATTATTAGCTCAAAATCCTCTGTTCCACCTTGTGATGTCATGAAGCTGATGTTTTCAAGCTATCATCTGCCTTTTATCTTTTGTTTAATTGAGATTCTCGAGCTGAAATGATCCAAATGATTCTAGTGAAGGTGTATGGAGTTTAAAAACACAGTGGAGCAGTTGCTGTATTACCACACAGGCTAAATATGCAGTGTTTGTGTGTTAAACATGCGCGAATGAAACAAAACACAACTCCAGGTCTGTTTGTGATGAGGAAACAACATTATAACATAAATCAGAAAACAGAGTGACATGGGCGCTTTAATGCTTCACTAAATAGACCAATTACACTTGTTTTCACACATTTATACACAATATCTGCCAATTTGAAAGACCTTTTAAATGACATATTGCTATAATTTGCCTATCTAAGGGCAGTTTAAACCAGTGAGGACTTGCTTTGGGCCTGGATCAGACTGTTTATAGTGGAGGTAAAACAGCACAAGATGGATATCTAGTATTAATGGTTTGAAGCAATGAAACCAAGTCTAGATATGAAATGAGAAATTTAAGTATATTTTACAGAAAAGTGTATACATTTTGCGCCATATATTTATAATTATAAAAAAGAAAAAAAAGATATCTGTCTGATCAATTTGGGCTTTTATTTGTATTAGAGGACATCGCACATAGCCCTGTGGATATTTTATTTATTGTATTCTACATGTATGGTTATGTCTCTGGTGGAATGTTTCTGCAGTTACCATGGTGACACAATGCCCGCATTAGTATACACAGCTAAAAAGGTTTTAAGAATGTCTGAAATCTTTAGAAAAACAATATAAAATGGATTTAGAGGGAGTCTGAGGGATTTGTTTAACAGTACAAATCATCTCCAACTAAGTCTGTTCTTTCTGGTCAGATTGTGTTAAAAAATAAAGCCCAGATTAAAGTCTAAGTTAACTCAGAGAATTCTCCTAAACAGGACCATGAGCGCTCGTATTGATTACAGACTCCTGAAATGGCTGTTTAAATCCAGTTTGTGTTTATTTATTTATTTTATTTCTTGAGTTTTCTCACTAGCTTAAAACTTGCTAACGTATGCATTGTGTCGCCATGGTAACTGCTGAACATTCGACCAATAAAGACACATGCAGAACACCTCCAGCACGATGTCAATGCAAAGTATCAACACATAAGAATCCCAAATCTTCTCGTCACAGTCACTTATTTGTCTCTAAGCCTGTTGTTGTGACTAAACCTTGGACTTGGCTGACATCATGGTCTGGTCCGGTCTCCGTACTCTGGTCATAGTCCTGGTCTAGTCCTCCTCACATACCATACGCTTCACTCATGTCCTCCTGTTTATAATGAATGACCAAATGACCACTGGGCACCGCATCAGCCTGTATCAAGTATTTCAGTGCATGCTCTGAATTCTTGTGAAGTGACAATGACAGACATAATAAACACACATCTCATAGACACAGCAGTGGATAGATCTGTTTATCAAGTGTGAGTCCATAGGGAAAATATACTGAAAATCCAAAGTATGAAGCAACAATTTTGAAAAAGGATGTATTAAGTAGTAGTATAATAAATAGTAGTAGTTGCAACAGTATTAGTAGTTCAAATATTTCCAATATTATGCACTTTAACTTGCTTAGACAAACTTTATTGATCCATAAGGGAAATTTCTTGGACACAGTAGCTCACATATCACAACATAATATAAGAACAAAGAGTAAAAAAAAATATAAAAATGATCATAAACTTGGAAATAAGTAGCAATAAAAAAGACCTCACTGTGTCAAATGTCTCTAATGTAATGTATCAAATGTACCTTATCATGCCACAAAAAAATAATAAATACTCACTGATACAGTAATGTGACAGTCTTAATAATACTAGAGTACAGGTATATGAGCAGAGGTCAGAGGTCAGTATGTGCCCAACTGAGGTGTGGGACTCTTCCTCTGACTCTGGAGACGGGACGCTTCCACTCAGTCCCAAAAGAGGAGCGCACATGTGCTCTGTGTGACTTAAAGGACACTGAAAATGAAATGCATTTTCTGTACTACTGTCCTTTGTATCATGACTTGCGCTGTAAGTTGTTGTCTAATGTATCTTACCGTTGGTTTGTGACGTCTGATGAGGAGAGTTTGGACTATTTCTTTAAATATAATGTTTTCAAGTTGGCTCAGTTTGTGTTGAAAGGCTGGGACATCCATAAGAGGACACTTTATATTTGATCTGTCTTACTGTTTTATGTGTCTTATAAGGCCATGCAGGCTGGAAACCAACTAAATGGTACATGACACTAAATAAGTAAAATAAACTCTGAACTCGAAACTCTGTGATACTTCCTGCACCTGCGTTTAAATGTCCTATATTACACAAAATGTACTCTTTATGTTTATAATGTTGTTACCTCCTCAAAAACATACCCGGAGTTGTGTTTTGTTTCATTCACATGTTTGAGTAATGCTTTATTATTAGTCTATTTACATCTCCAAAGCTCAAAATACTCCACCTTGTGATGTCTTGAAGAGGTAGTTTTCAAGTAAACAGCTACTTTTAGCTTCACTTCGGTAGAGACTAGAAATTCTAAACTGAAACTATTTAAGTGATTAGCGAAGGTGTATGGAATTTAAAAACATAATGTAATATAAAAACCTATGGACTACTTCCTGTATTGCATGACATCACAAGGTTGACCGGAGCGTTTTGCGTTTGAGAGAAGAACTCAGCCTAAACATGCAGGGTTTGAGTGTTAAACATGCGCAAATGATTAAAAAAAAAAAAAAAAAAACTCCAGGTGTGTTTTTGATGAGGAAACAACATTATAGCATAGATCAGAAAATAGTATAGTGTAATATGGGCCGTTTCATAACATTGGAGCACAGATATGTCGAGTATTTTCTGGTCCTTGCACCTGTGTTTAACCTGAAGGCGGTTTCATAGTGTGAGAAAAATGATCAGACTTCACCTGCAGTAGGAGCCCAGCCCATGGCAAACCCCAGGAGCCGCATACCAAACAGCAGCATCACAAATACCGAGCATGTCTTTCTTTTACCAAAACACCATTATGAAGAGACTGCCATGTCAAACCTTATATAGACTTGTGCGGAGAGAGAAACGGGAAATCAGTGCACAATTGATTTCTCACAATGCATTCCATAATTAAGAGAAGAAGGAAATTAAAGTAAAGTAATAGTAAAGTACTTAATTGCACTTTAAACCACAGAGATAAAATGCTTAGTAAACGTTTAAAACCTAACTCTAACCCTAAAAACTATATATGGTAATCAAGCTTTAAAAATTGACCTTGACATTAAACAAAGACTCTGTAAAGCACCCACAGAAATGCAATGTTAAATGAAAAACATATGATACAGAATATTAATGTTATATTTACAAAAATAATATGTAATAATGATCACATTTATTTCTAAAAAAAATACCAGTTGCTGAAACAAAAATATAGAAACACTGTAATAGTGTAATACAAAACACTAGACATTAGCAGTAATAGGCCAAGTGATAGTAAGTAGTAGTAATAGTAGTAGTAGTAGTAGGAGTTGTTGTTGTTGTTGTTGTTGTTGTTGTTGTTGTTGTTGTTGTATTAGTCTGTATTGCAACTGACATTTTCCAATTAGGGTACAAATAAAGGTTTAATAAATTTCTAATAGTAGTAGAAGTAGTAGTAGCAGCAGCAGTAGTAGTAATAATAGGACTAGTAGTAGCTTTAGTAGTAGTCTGTATTGCAACACTGACAGTTTCGAATTAGGGGACAACTAAAAGTTTCGTTATCTAATAGTCATAGTAGTAGTAGCAGTAGTAGTAGTAGTAGTAGTAGTAGTAGCAGTGGTAGTAGTAATCTGTACAGCAACACTGACAGTTTCCAGGTACTGTAGACAACAAATAAAGGGTTTAATTGTCTAATAGTAGTAGTAGTAGTAGTAGTAGTAGTAGCAGTAGTAGTAGTAGCAGCAGCAGTAGTAGCAGTAGTAGCAGTTGTAGTAGTAGTAGTAGTAGTAGTAGTAGTAGTAGTAGTAGTAGTAGTAGTAGTAGTAGTAGTAGTAGTAGTAGTAGTAGTAGCAGCAGTAGTAGTAGTAGTAGTAGTAGTAGTTAGTATTGGTGAAGAAATATTTCCATAGCTTTAACACAATGGACTCTACTACAGACTCACTGTAACATCAGTGCACAAAGATACAACATTATAGGCCGGTCATATTGAATAGAGCTGGGGCAGTTATTAATTAATATTGTTAAAATGCAGATTTGTGATCTATTAAAGTGACTTCTTGGGTTTAGTCTAGACGTGTTCACATTCAACATTTGTGAATTGTACCTCTTTCTGTTATTTAGACCTGTATCATCAAATAAAAATGCATGTCATGCTTGTAAACATGCCTGAAAACTCCCATGTCTTATTTACATGGTTTATTTTTGATTAAAAATAAGCTCTGATTTAATGTAAGCCATAATTATGAGATGATTACTGAAACCACTTCAGTCAGTGTAATCTAATATTTTTCCTCTAATCAAACAAGCTTACCGTAACAAGTCATCTGACTACTTCTAATCTGCAAATCACTGAAACTATTAATAGGCTTCTTGTTTATTATTGATAGGCACGCATACCTTTTAACCTGGCTCATCGCTGTTGCATAGAAACTCACACCTTTCATAAGCCCCGCCTCCGCTGTGATCTGATTGGCTCAAATGAACCGGGGGCGTCATTATGCGCGGAGTTTACAGTTGGAAATGTGCACACTCTGCAGCCGCTTTCAGACCGCTTCAACTCCGCTACCGTGTCATACCTTTACTCCATCCTCCTCGTATTTTGATTCCTGACGACTGTTCTTCAAGCTACGATGCGAATTTCGTCTCGATAGCAGCAGTTTTTTCAAATATTTTGCGCGTAAGCAAGGACGTACATTCATTTTGGTTTTATCCATTCGTGGCGATTTCGATGCCTGACTTCGAAAAGATGAGCAAAAACGGGATGTTGTCCAAAATCCACACCAGAATAAGGACAGACCCATTCACCTCTAACTACGATCTGGTCGGCAAAGAGCTGGGCAGGTAAGTTAACGCTGTTTTGCGAGTAAAAAATGAGTAGTTTATCTGTGCGTAATGACATTCATCTATCTGTGGCATTAGCGGTAAGTCTATAATCCCAATAATTTGCCTTGTGTGTGCACGTGCTGTCAGAAAGCGTGCTGACTTTGACTCGAGAGCCCCGCATACTTTCGGAGACTATGTGGATTTTGAAGGAGTTGAGAAATGTGAAAATAACAAAAGAGTGGAGCAGTCAGGCACGATCTGTTTATCCAGAGCCGTTATGCCAAACAGTCACGTTGGAAGTGTTTGAATGGGTCCCACTACTGTCACGTTTCAATTTGGAGAGATGGAGAGTTTTTTTGTGCTCAAATTATGCATTATTATACCCATTATATCCATATTTAGACTTATTTGAACACTATTTGACTAGTGTTTTTTAGTAGTACTGATTTGTTTACGTTTTAATTCAAATTCTAAACACTATTCCTGCTTTTGTCCTGTGTATTTCACTATTTGGGTGTAATTTTGTTATAATTCATTGCTTTTTGAACCTTGGTTTTGTGTTTTAGATCTTTTTTTAGCTCTTGGTTAGTCATGTTTTATCTTAGGTCTTGCTCATTTATATTTTAGACTACCCTTAGCTACTAGTTTAACCCTTGTTTGGCTTGTCACTATATATACACTACTGTAACTCAATGAATCTGTGTATTAGCCTGTTTTGCTGTCATCCTCACTCTGAACAGCTGCAGCCAAAGCCAATGGGAGCTTGTGCTATCTATGTACTGCCTCCCCATCCCGAGCTTGCCTGGTGTCTGACTCTGCACTGGCCCGGCTTCTCTCTGGTCCCTCCTCTCTTCCCACGAAACAATATAAGGAGAAATCAGGGCTCTTATAATCGCATTAGGTGCAAGAATGTTGTACATTGGCGCATACCAGCAGGTCAGCCGCTTACATGGTTGGAACATTTAGAGGGGGATGACCAAATTAGGGCATTCCTTTAGTGCAGCCAGCATTGTATCGTCATATATAATAACTTTTTTTCTGATAAATAAAACAACATATAGATATGATTTGCTTTATTTTGGAAAGTTGCTGTTCCGTTATACACCGATAGACACTTTGGTGCACTAAACTCATGTCAGTGTGGTTATATTAAAGTTTTAGTGGAGGGTCTGCCACATGTTTGTTTACACAGATATTACTGCTTTGCCTGGAATGCTCCACAGTATGGCATTAAAATTAAGTTACAGGACAGCTCTGCGGTGAGGCAACTGTAAGAATGACTGAGTGAAGAATGCTGTTCTTAAGGGATTTGTGAGTAATAAAAACACAAATGATTAAATGAAAAGAAGATACATAAGGTTAATGCCATACTGTGGAACATTCCTGGCATAGTAGGTGTCTTAGGTTGACCTGTGTCTGCAAAGTATAAATGGGGAAAAACTGGAAAATTGGAAAATGATTAAATCAATACAAAACATATTTGAAAATCCTATACTGAATGGCTTTCAAAACAGTTTGGGAATCCCTGTATTTCTCACTGTGCATTATGTAAGAGTACAGATAGGACAGTACACCTCCTGCTGTTTAAATCTGCTGATAAGGGCTTGTTGTCATAGTGTTTCTTTTTACTTCTGCTTGGAAATGTATTCTTGAACTGAAAAACAAAAGAGGAAGTTGAAGTGTGTGAAAACTTCAGCCTGAACTTGAGACATTGAGAGTCACGATTTTGTCCTGAGGAGGGAGACAAAACACACACAGGATATGAACATGGTCTAATGCTTTTTTTAAAATGTTTTTCTTTATTTACATGTTTAAAAGCCATGCATTCTTACTGTGAGTGGACTCCCCTCTCCACAGATCTGATACAGTACATGTTTAAATATGTGATTTTGTTATCAAGAATGGAAAAGTACTTATATTTTTGGACTAAGTTGACTTGCTTAAAGTAAATAACCTGCATTGATATTTAAAGGTGCACTATGTAGCATTTCTGGTTTAGAGGCTCTGTTTCCATGGAGATGTAACTGCTTGGCATGGAATATTTCACAGTATGGCTTGTGTTTATGAAATCGCAGTTGCATTATTGCTTGAAAATACTTTGAAAAACATGCATTGTTAAGTGTGAGGAGGGTCGCCTTTCCACAGATATGACCTGTGACTTTTCCTGGTGATATAGTAGTTTAATGCCATACTGTGGAACATTCTAGGCCAGGCAATAACATCACCGTTACAAACAGGTAGACCCTCCAATATAAAAGTTACTAGATTTTAAGTCCAGTTGTAAAGTTCTAAAAAAACAAACAAACAATTAAATAATTTAACAAATGATCTTCACACAAAACAGACCAGTGACATTTTCAAAACAATCCCCTCTCTTAATACTCTCTTGACGTCATCGCTTTAACCAGGAGTCTGTGGGAGCATCTGTCGCCGGCGTAACCTGTCAGATCGTGAAGGGTTTCCAAGATGGCCGCCTTTGCTGACCTTTGACCTCCTGTCATCATGTTAAAAAGCGTCCTCCTGTTGCGTCGTCCTCTGGCCGGCGCTCCGCTCCATTCAGCTCCAGTGTAGCTCCCAACCCACTGCCAAAACCGCTCTGAACTTGGCTAATTAAACAAGAAAGACCCCCGAGGGTGACTTCAGCTTTCAGTGGGGACAAAGGGTAAGCTGTCACAGTGTCCCTGCCAAAAGAGAGGGGGAGACGGAGAGAGAGAAGGAAGGAGGGAGGGAGGGAAAGAAGGGAGGGAGGAGGGAGGGAGAGGAGTTAGGAAAGAGAGGGGAGGAAGATTGGGGGAAAGAGAGAGACCTGGAGAGAGAGAGGAGAAAGAGAAAAAGATGGGGGAGAGAGGAGAAAGAGAGAGAGATGGGGAGAGAGAGACAGAGAGAAAGACAGGAGGGGAGAGAGAGGCGAAGGAAAGAGAGAGCGATGGGGAGAGAAAGAGACAGGGGGATAGAGAGGCAGGGAGCGAGAGGAGAAGAAGAGAGAGAGAGACAGGAGAGAGAGAGAGATGAGGAAAGAGGAGAAAGAGAGAGAGGAGAGAGGGGAAGAGAAAGAAGAAAGAGAGGGAGAGACAGGAGAAAGGGATGGAGAGATGGGGGAGAGAGACGGGGAGAGAGGAGAAAGAGAGAAACAGGGAGAGAAAGAAGAAAGAGAGAGAGATGAAGACAGAGGGAGAGAAAGAAGAAAAAGAGCGTAAGAGACTGGGAGAGACAAGAGAAAGATAAAGGGAGACAGGGGGAGAGAGAGCAGAAAAGGAGAAAGAGTCTGGGGGAGAGAGTCTGAGATGGGAGGGGGGTCATGCCTGAATGACTTTTTGGCTCTGCTGGGCCAATCAGAACCAGAGGAGTGACTGTTCTGGGCCCATAACTTTTTGGAGCAAAGCAGTGTGGGAAAACGAACGCCGTCACGCTGGCTGGGCGCGCTCTGACGTAAGAGAGGGTCCAATTAGTTTTTAATTCATCGAAACATGTGACGAACCTGTTGGATTTCACATCTCAAAAGACGAAAGTGCTGTCAATGTGTCTTGTATCTTGCTTGTCTCCATGGAGATGTTTTTGCTTTGCCTGGAATGTTCCGCAGTATGGCATTAAACATATCCATTTTGCATTTTTGCATTCAATTACACATATTTTTAAAAACAATAAACAATTGAAAGAGAGAGTGTATGATCACCACTCCACAGATCTGAACTATAACTTGGCCTGGTGTCGTCACCTGATAGTGCCCATGGTGATACGTCTAATGTCACACTGTGGAACATTCTAGGCAAAGCAGTCACATCCCTGTGGAGACAAGTTGGTGTTGGACCCTCCACCAGAAAAGTTACTTAATGCACCTTTTACGCAATTTTATATATTTGTAATTTTTGGCCAAATTGGGAGACTGGAATTTGTAAACTCTTGACTAGAAAAGTTACTTAATGCACCTTTTACGTAAGTTATATATTTGTAGTTTTGGGTCAAATTGTGAGATTACAAATCCTAACAAAAAGAACTTCCAAACAAACTTTTTGCAGACATCTTGGTGCCTCAGAACGACTCCAGTTGAGAATCAGAGAAGCTTGTTTGTGGACAGCAAATGTTGATGTTACGAGCTGGTCTTTTTTGCCAGACCTTTGGAGCAGCAGACTGTATAACCCCGCTGACCTCCCGCTCGCCCCTGGACCCCCTCTGTTCTGTGGGTGGTCCCGATAACACAAAACCCTGACGCGCTGAGCCAGTGGTCACCTTTTGTGCTCGCATGTCATTTGCAGGGTTTGGCTGTCAGCTGTGAAGAAAAGGGGAAGTGAGTGTCTTTTATCAGCCTGGGAGAGGGGCAGTTTGTGATTTGGGCGTTTGAAAACACAGGGATAACTCTGCGCACGCCCAAATGTGACCCCTCCAAAGCTGACCTGGACCTCTTCTGTCAATTTGTCAGAAAATAAATGAGATTGTAAAAATGTCTGGCTTTTATAGTGGACACAGATAAGTAGACAAGCTGTGTATTGTATTTCAGTGCATTTAAAGGTTTTATGTTACGCAAAATTGACTCTCGTGAGCTTTAAGTCATGTTAGAATGTTGTTACCTCATCTAAAACATACCTGGACTTGTGTTTTGGATCAGAAATCAACATAAAAGATCACTCAGCACTTGATTGTTTCCACGGCGATGACATTGCGTTGCCTGTAATAATCCACAATATGACATTCACCTATCTGTCCATCTATCTATATTACTTTGATTAGAGTGGCATTTTTATTGCCTCGTAAAATGCATTCTTACTGTGGCCGAGGTCGCCTCTCCGCAGATATGACCTCTAACTTGGCCCAATTTTATTTTATTTATTTTATTAATTAAAACAAAATAACTTGATAGATTTCTAGCGACAGTCATCTTAAGTTTGTTTATTCAACCTTAATTTGTTATTATTAATTATACATTTTTTCTAGTTAAATTGTTTCCACTATATATTGTCACTATTAATATGTCTTTATTAAATTATTAAATGTTATCGCTTTATCTAGAATGTTCCACTGTATATATTAAACCTGTCTATCATGAGGGAGACAAGCAGGGTACAGCACTACATTACATTACAGGTCAGATCTGTGGAGAGTCGTCCCTATTCACAGAAAGAATGATTGTATTTTTGAGCAACAGAAACATCCGTAATGAGTAGAGATGTCACAATAACCAAAATATCATGATACTGTATCGTCAAAAGTCTCACAATAATATCGTGGGCTGTCACAAAATATATCGAATCACAAGTTTCTTTGCTTAAATGCATTGTTTTATAGTAGCAACAGCTTATAAATGTCGGGAACTACATATCCCATGATTCATTTCAGCGCAGCAACGTGAAGTTATGTTTTTTTACTTGAATTTGTGGGATTATGACTGTAATAATTCACACCAAATTTTTATTTTAAAAGCAAAAAACCGTCCTATCTACAGTTATATCAGCCTCTTCAAAATATCGCAATAAATATCGTGCTGTGAGATGCATATCGTGATAATATCGTATCGAGAGATTTGGATATTGTTACATCCTTAGTAAAGAATAAATGCTAGATGGACATGTTAACATTCTTGGCAAAGCAATAACATCTCCATGAACACAAGTAGGTAACAGACTCTCCACCAGAAAAGTCACGCAATGCACCTTTAAAATGAACAGAGTATTGGACAATGCGTTTTCTCTATAACATGATGTAATCTTGGTTTTTATCAAAGCTCAGCTCCGTCCAACTTCCTTAAGCGTATCAGTCCAAAGTAGTTGAACTTTGAGGTTGACATAAGAGTCTGTTCATTGTGAGCGGGGTGAGAGGTGATATAGATTCGCCGTAGAGACACTTGAAGCTTATCTTACTCTGTTCACTATTCAGCAGCTCTTTTCTAAACTGTGCTGCTTATCTGTTTGCTGTCATATGTGAACTGAAAGAGGAAATCTCCACCAAAAGTAAATACGGCTTCTTCAGCTGCTAGTATCACTACAAATGGTTCAAACTGCTATTTTAGTATGTGCAAAATGTGTTTGTTTTTGAAGCTTTTAAGCATTATATTGTGGTATTCTCGGTGTAAAACATACCTGAAGTCGTGTTTTGTTTTAATACATTATTCTTATTCATTTTAATTGATTAGTAGACGTAAGATAAGTCTATTGTAAAAGAGGCACCATGGAGATGATATTCCTTTGAAATGTGCTGCACTATTCAATTACAGGTGGCTTTATTGGTCAAAAATACCTTAAAAACATGCTTTTTTATTGTGAGTGGGGTCGCCTCTTCACAGATCTGACCTGTAATTTTGTAACTTTGCTGTCACCTGCTTGTCTCCATGGAGATAACCAAATTTAAGTCCATACTGTGGAACATTCTAAAGCAAAGCAATAACATCTCCATGAAGATAAGCTGGTGGCGTCTCCTCTACCGTAAAGTTTCAAAGTGCTTCTTTAAATCTGAGCATGGAGACAAGTCTGTAATGCCTCAAAGCTAAGTTACAGGTCAGATCTGTGGAGAAGAGAGCTCACTCGCTGTAGGAATGCATGTATTTTTGACCAATAAAACGTCTTTAATTAAATAAATGCAACATAGATAAGTTTAATGCCATACTGTGAAACCTTTTAGACAAAGCAATGACATCTCCATGGAAACAATCTTGTGTCAGACCCCCTAACAGAAACGTTATACTGTGCAAATTTAAACTTTTCCAAAATTATTCCACTGAAGTCCGTGTTTTTCCTCACTTGAAGCAGCTCTTCCGCTCTGCTTGACCCAAATTGCTCAAACTTGCCTTTAAATCAAAATCCAAGATCTTATCTCATCACTAATCACCTAATTTCTTCTTCCACTTTTTCTTTTTCAGAGGGAAGTTTGCGGTGGTGAAGAAGTGTATAGAGAAATCAACAGGGAAGCAGTACGCGGCCAAGTTTCTGCGACTCAGACGGAAAGGTGAAGACTGCCGGAAAGACATCCTCAACGAAATCGCCGTGCTCGAATCGGCCAAATCCAACCCCTATGTTGTGGGTCTGCACGAAGTCTACGAGACCAGCCACGATATTATTCTAGTTTTGGAGTGGTAAGTTGCTACGCATTAAAGGCTCTCCACTAGAAAAGTTACACAATACATCTTCAAATCCAGATGTAGACTTGGTTTAGTCTCATCGTAGTCCTGGTTTAGTTCTGGTTAAGTCCTGGGTTTATTTCTGCATGTGGTCCCAGTTTAATCCTCATTTTTCTGTGTTTATGCTACTTTTTCCTCTTAAAATCCTTAACAAGACGTAATCCAAAGATTTAAAAGAGCTTAGAACAGTTATTTCTTCATGTAGTCTGCATTAAAACAGAGCAAAGGATCATGGTCTATGTAGTTCCCGCTGTTTTTTTAGCTATTGCTGCACTATAACAATGAATTTAAGCAGAGAAACTTGTAATTTGATATTCTGCGAGGTTCCACGATATTATTGACACACTTTTGACGATTACTGTCACTGTTATCGTTACACCCTTACTTCTCACTCCGGTAAATGCACAGCTTTACGTTACTGTGAGCCTGCAGCTGTAGTAGGAAGCCAGCTGTGGTTTTTTGACTGCCACGTTTCTTGTTATGCTGAGCCCTTTGCAGAAACCGTCCCTTTAAATACAGCAGCGTGAACCGCATGCAACTGTGTGAAAGCAAAGATGAAAAACATGCCTTAAACTTGCAGCAGCACCAGTCAGTCAGTGTTGGAAGTGAAACGATGCTTGGTTTGCATTACTGTTAAAGGTTCTATATGACACAAAATTGATTCTTGTGAGCTTTAAGCCATAATATAATGTTGTTACATTCTCAAAAACATACCTGGAGTTGTGTTTTGTTTCATTCACACATGTTTGAGTAACCTTTTATTATCAGTTTTTACTTATTACCTTTAGTTCAGTAGAGATCAGCAATTCAAGAACTAAAATCAGATCCTCCAAATGATTGTAATGAAAGTGTATGGAGTTAAAACATCGTGGAGCACTTCCTGTATCACCACACGATGATACAACACGGTGGAGCAGAGTGTTTTCAGTTTGAGAGAAGAATTCAGCCTAAATATTCAGGGTTTGAGCGTTAAACATGTATGAATGAAACAAAACACAACTCCGGGCATGTTTTTGATGGTAAACTTGCAGCACTGTTTTCTTAAGAGGGCTGCAGAGGTGAGTTTTGTTTCCATTTCCTCTTTCACGCTTTAGCTACAGGTCAAACTCTCGGCCTATTGTCCTCTCAAAGCATTCTTGGTCTGGGATGGGGTGTGTAGTAAAAAGTCAGACAGGGACAGAGCCAAGTCTTTATAGCGACTTTGGGCTCTTAGTCGCTTGCAAATTTTGAGAGTTGCTGTTTTTCTGGAGGCTTGTTCCTGAGCATCATTTTTACATATTTTTTACTTTAAATAAGAGTCGATTTTTGACATTTTAAAGCGGGTATTGATGTTAAAGGGCCTGCTTTGATTTTAATTCATTCTTATTAAGACAAATGCTATGTACATCATCGATTTCCTGGTAAAATCTGCAAAATAATACATTTTTTAAGGCTTACTCACTTCTTGTTCTCAAAATCTGGCAACCCTGGCAGCAGAGAACAGTGGCTTCCTGGTTGAACGGAGAGCAGGGGGCAGAAAAATGCAGTGTAGCTTTAATTGCCCCGTGTAGTACATCTCTGTAGTGGTGCAAGGGGGTCATTAACAAACAAAGTCCTATCTCCTCTCAAGGTAATTAGAAGAGGCTATGAGAGACGTCTGGACACTGAGCACAGCAGATTAAAGCCAGACGGAGGTGAACACAAGTGCAGAGGTTTACAACAAGAAACAAGAGTTATAGGCTACAAATGAGTTGAATTTTATTGCAATACTGACTAAATTTTATAATAACTAGTTTCATTTCTACTTTTAGTGTTGTTTAAAGGTTCTATATTACACCAAATTGACTCTTGTGAGCTTTAAGTCATGTTATAATGTCGTTACCTCCTCAAAAACATACCTGGAGTTGTGTTTTGTTTATTCACACAAGTTTGATTCAGTCTGGTTTATTAATCTGTTTATGTCTCCAAAGCTCGAAATGCTCTATCCCACTTTGTGATGTCATGTAGTGGTAGTTTTCAACTTAACAGCTCCTTTTTTTACATTTAGTTCAGTTGAGATTCCAGGTCTGAAATCATCCAAATGATTCTAAAAACGCAGTGGAGCACTTTGTGTATTACCACATGACATCACAAGGTGGAACTGAGTGTTTGAAAGAGAAGAACATGCCCGAAATATGCAGGGTTTGTGCATTTAAAAAATGTGAATGAAACAAAACACAGCATTTCATCTTTTCCATTTTTAATTTTACGATCCGTTGGTGTTTTTGTGTAATTTTTTTCAACTTTTTTCAACTTTCACAGATGCGTTTTGGGACATTTCAGATGAATGTCAAAAATCTGTTATCAGAAACATCTAGAAAACACATTGATTAAATTTTTTTTTTGTCAATATCGACCACCCCTGTGCTCGGTTAGTTTATAAACAACCAAAAACCCAAGTATCCAAAGTATGCAGTGATAGGAGTACCGAATATTTGCTTTTAGAAGTCCCAGCTTATACTATCACAAGTTACTGCGTATTATACTGTGCAAAGTCGACTCACACAGCTCTATTTCTGCCAATGCGCCTGACCTCAGCCTTGAGAAGAGCTAGTTTCCATTTCCTTTGGGTTTACAAAGTTGAAAAAAATGCAAAAAAAGTAGCACACGTAGAGTCGAAACCACTTCCTCAGCTCATGACAGAATTTATACTTGAGTCATCACCTGTAAGACTTACAGAGAAAATATGCACAAAACCACATGTGTTTCTCTAAAATGAGTCAAGGCAAAAAAAGTAATACAGATCGAATATGCGTGTACTAATCAGGTACATTTGAGTCAGTCTGAATTTAAGCGATAAGGTTATTTTCCAGATTGTAGATTCTTAAACACATTTTGCCAAACACTTTAACAGCAACCTGAAGCATTTTTATTCACATTTCTGCTCTTAAACGGTCCGTGAGAACATCGCGTCGTCACGGTGACAGGTTGACAGGCCCCCGCTCTGCTGTACTTTGCTTTTACGTCGTGTTAAGATGAAAAGTGCCTGTCAAATCCTCCCATGTGTCTCTCATTTGAAGTTGGCTGCTCGGGTCTGACGTTTTGAGAGGGCTCCAGCAGTCGGCGAGGTGGGAGGCGCGTCAAGTATTTAGCGCCGCGAGCAACGGATCATGTCGAGAGAGGAGAGTTTTGAGAAATTATTGCTTTTACTGTAGGTTTTTTGAGATTTATTGGCGTATGAGATTTAAAGGTCTTCTAAAAGTGTGTACCGCATTCAAGCCTGCACAAAAAGATTTTATTACAAGTATTTAGTAGTTCATACTTGGATACAGCTTTTCAGGAGTTTAAATTAATAAAAAATTAGTGCTGTTGCTACAAAATATTCAGTTTTCATATCAGTTTAAGGGTGAAAAGTCCCCAAAATGGTGTCCGTAAGAGGAATAAGATATGTAAAAAATAAATAAATAAAAAATAAAAATAAAAAATATATAAAATATTAAAAATAATAGTAATAAAAAATGAATAAATACATAATTAAATAAATAATAAATAATAATACTTGACTGTATTCTGACTCTTCAGGAAAGGTTAATTTCTGACCTGTGAATGTGACTTTGTAGTGTCAATACTTGCTCAAATGACTATCTAGTTTATGATTTTCAATATTTCTGACAACCGTAGTTTAAATTTAACTTTTTTTTTAGCTTTCTCAGCGTTCAATGTGGGAGGGAGGTCAGCTATTTTGTGCTTGGAGCGAGCGTACACAATCCAGGATTATAAAGACTATTGACGGATATCCTCCTTGGAAAACATCGTATTATTTAAACAGCTGAACATAGTAAAAGTGTACAGTTTTGGGTCGGTTATGTAACAGAAATGCCTATGGCCAGGTCAGAAAGTTTCAGTACTCAGAAACATGTCGTATCTTAATCCCGCACACATGGTTTTGGTTCTTAGTGTCAGCTTCAGGCGCAGATCTGAGAGGAGTTCAGGAGTACAGCGTCTCTGGCTTATATCGAGTTACAAGAGCAGGTTCAAACTCAAATTCAAGAGTATTTGAATGTATTGAGGCACTGAAAGTCATATTTAAAGTATAATGTATAGGTATATCCATTTTCCCTTTTAAAACGTATAGAATTTTGTTTTGTTGTTAATCTCTATGGTAACGGTCAACATTTCTCATCACGATTCAAATTTGAACCAAGAATTGACTAATTGTGGGACGACTTTACCTCTTCACCTGTTATTATTGGTTTAGTCCTGGTTTAATCCTGATTTAGTCCTTGTTTATTCCTTGTTTAGTCCTTGTTTAATCCCGGTTCAGTCCCTGGTTTAGTCCCTGGTTTAGTCCTGGTTTAGTCCTGGTTTAGTCCTGGTTCAGTCCTGGTTCAGTCCTGGTTCAGTCCTGCTTCAGTCCTGCTTTAGTCCTGCTTTAGTCCTGCTTTAGACCTAGTTTAGCCACCTTCTTGCATCCACTGTGGTATCTTAATACCATAGTGTGGAACATTTCAGACAAAGCAACATCTCCATGGGAACGAGCAGGTAGGAGACTCTCTGCTTAAAAAATTACGCAGTGCAGCTTTAAATTAGCTTCTCAAAAACTCCAAAAATGCACATAAATGCCTCCTGTGCACACACCTCCCTAAACGTAAGCATTAAGTTGTCTTTGGGCCTATTATTAGCAGCAGTACAAAGGCCGGGTGGTTTGCTTTCCTTTTCTTTTGTAGGAAATGCCCAGACAGTGATCGATGGTGGGAACAGGTTAAGTGGGTTAACCTGTAGTAAATCAGGGCAGTACCAGGCTGTTCTTATCTGGGCCAAATAGACGAGCATTGATTCGGGACAGACACACTTGCATGGACTTTGGTATTTTAAGCCCTGGTGCTCTTAATGAGGGCATGAGATGTTGCATAACTTAAAAAAAAAAAAAAAAAAAAAGCTGAAATATTAAAGGTGAGTTGTGTAACTTTTTGGTTGGAAGTCACCTTCTTGTTTCTGTGAATATGTCAGTACTCTGCTTGGAATGTTCCACAGTATGACATTAAACAGCTCTACCTTACATTTATTCAATTACAGGTTGTTTTTCAGCTCAAAAATACTGAGAAAAGCGGGAATTCTGACCCGTAACTTGGTCTGCTTTGGTCTCCATGAAGATAGAAAGGTTAAACATAGAAAGGACGAAACATTCCAGACAAAGCAATAACATCACCATGGAGAAAAAGCATTTGACGGACCCGCCACCAGAAAAGTTACACAATGCAAAATTTGCAAATCGCAAAGGCTGCAAACCCTAATTTCCTCCACAAATAGCTAAATTACCTTTCTTATTCTGAAAAACAGAACTAGATCATTTTAAACAGTTATTCGACACTTCCTTTATGCATTCTGAGCAACAACTAGCATGTTAACAGAGCACTTCCTGGTTCTCAAACACATTCTAAATTAGACACAGACAAATTTACCTTAGGCATTCAGAGCATCCAAATTATTCACCACGATGAGTTTATAAGCGCTTTTCGCAACTTTCAGACACCAAAGCAGAGTTTTCCCATCACAGTAAAGCGTTCCCATCACAACTAGCATGTTAACAATGCACTTCCTCATTCTCGAAAAATTTCTAATTAGACGCAGAAGGTACATAGCTGACCTCAAGAGCTGCTTATACAATATATCTGTACAAACCCATGGGAAAACATCGTGTACGCCCATACGTAGCTGTCTCGGGAGGTGATAAGTTGCATAATTTTGGAAGCAGTTTTCGTTTGATGCAAAAATGCGTGAGCTTAGCGGACTGGAATGTACGACATGCACAGAGGAAGGGCTCACTTGTACCTTTGACCGTGTGCTTTGTTATGATTGGAGATTGGTGAAATAAAATAATAAGAAAGGAACAGAAAGTAGGCCAAGGTAAACTCTTATGGGTGGTCTTATTGTGCCGTCAACCGCATTCTTTTCTGGTTTAGTTCTGGGGTGGTTCCCGGTTTATTCTTGGTTTATTCTTGGTTTAGTCATGAGTTTGTCCTGATTTAGTCCTAGTTTAGTCCTGGTTTAGTCTTGGTTTTGTCCTGGTTTAGTCTTGGTTTTGTCCTGGTTTTGTCCTGGTTTTGTCCTGGTTTACTTTGCCATGAATTTGTAAATTGTATTGAATATTGAGGAACCCTGTGATTTCCAAGACTAAAAACGATCTTCTCGTTTTTTACAGCGCTGCCGGTGGAGAAATCTTCAACCAGTGCGTTGCCGATAGCGATGAGGCGTTCACAGAAGGGGACGTGATCCGACTCGTAAAGCAGATCCTGAGCGGCGTGGCTTTCCTGCACAGGAACAACGTGGTGCATCTAGATCTCAAAGTGAGTATGGAGAGAAGGAATTTTAAAGGTGCACTGGAGCTGAATTGAACTTAGAATTAACATATTTGAGAAATCACAAAAGCTGCTGTTACGGATACTTGACATCCGAGGTCGACTTCAACCTTTTTCTGAGTTTGAGAAACATGTAGAACACCCCCAGCATAATGTATCAATATCAGAAAACTATAGTGTCATGTCATGTATAAAATCTTCTAACCGTCTAAAAACGTGTTCGGAAACGCATTTCATTCTTGTCTCAGCGTAGCAGTTCAGATTTCAGTCTTTTCTCAATCTTTAATGTCTTGACATGTCTAAAGTTTGCAGTGTGAGTCAGCTGATCTTACTCAATGAACGGCGGCCCAGAGCCGAGCAAATTGCCACAGGACGGCTCTGGCTACGTATTACTTAATCTCATTTAAAAGCTCTTATTTCACAAATGCCCAATATTCTGTATTCGGATTTGTAGTAATAAATGTTAACCAAACAATGACTTTGAGAAGGAGAGGAAGGAGGGGAGGAGAGAAGGAGGAAGAGAACGAGAACAAGAAGGAGGTGGAAGATGAGGAGAAGGAGGAGGTGGTGGAAGATGAGGAGGAGGAGAAGGAAGAGAAGAAGTAGGTGGAAGATGAGGAGGAGGACGAAGAGAAGGCAGAGAAAGAGGAAGAGGAGGAGATGGAGGAAGAGGAGGAGGAGGAGAGTAATACTATGTTTGATGCATAGGTGTGGTTGGGAATGCCTTCTATTGTCAGCACAAAATAAACACAGCTAATTTATATAACAATGTGATGATTATGTAAGTTTTTAATGGTCTAGAAATGTTCACATGACTAAGTGCTTTCCTTTGGCCACATGGATATTATTAGTCCAGACTCTCCTCCTTTCATAGTAAGTGCTTTCAATTATTATAATACAGCACAATGGCTCTGCTCTCCGGAGACTGGGAAACATATTTTTACTTGTTACACAACCGCAAAACGAACCCTGTCATAGTCCAGTCCCGACGGGAACCCAGTCTCATAATGCAAAACCAATGGACCTCTGTTTTCTTTAAACAGGCCATGAGCTAATGGAGTGTTTTTTCACCTAATCATCTTATTTATGGACAAATGAGATTAAAAAAGGACAAACTACCATTGAGTAACAAGTGTTCTTACATATAAGGCCTTGCGCAAATGGAAGTATTGGAACAAGCATTTCAAAGAATTAAAGCTGCGCGATGTAACGTTTATGGTGAAACGTTATAGCTTTACCTAGAATGTTCCACCGTAGGCGTTTAAACATTATCGAGCAGAAAACATCACAAGGTCAAGGTACAGGTCAGATCTATAGAAAGGCGACCTCGCTCACTGTAACAATACTATCTTTTATCAAGGCAATACAAAGACCTGTAGACGTTTAATGGCGTAGTGGGGAACATTACAAGCCAAGTTAAAAATAAGTTACATAGTGTGCCTTTAAATGTTATAGCTGTAAACATTTTTTTTAAAACAACATCAAAATTTAACCCAAGATGCCATTAGTTGTCACATACTGCTGGTTTTAGTCATTTGTCAGTCCTAAGTGAGCAGCTCGTTCTGCTTTCTGATCATTTATATTTAGATTTTTGACTCTCAAGTAAACATTAAACCAAAATATGAAACTACTGGTACTAATACTTGCTTTTTACGGTCTTAAAAACATGAAAAACAAAACTTTGGACCACTGCAAACTTAAAAAAAAAAAGACTAGTTATCTATCACCTTCTGCATTCAAAGGATCCTAATTGTTCTCAGCAAGGAGTTTATAAGTGCTTTTCGCAACTTTCAGAGACCAGAGCCGAGGTTTCCTGTCAATAACTAGCATGCTAACACACACTTTCTCATTCTCCGACACTGAAACGCCTTATAATTGGATGCAGACGGTATGTAGTGGACATATTTTGACCTCAAGAGCCAGAATATATCCGCATCTATAATTTTGCTCAAAAACATGGGAAAAAATCGACAGGGCATCAGGGTCCAAAAAGTCAAAGATCTTAATCTCCTCTCACAGGGGTAATAAAAACCTATTAGCAAGTGTAAATTATGAAACCATTTCCTGTTCGACTTCAGACTCATGTTTTCATTGAGTAAATTGTATTCGTCTCTTGTGGTTAGAAAGGCCGGAGTCACCCAGGGCTCTGAACTATATTCTCGTGTTTATCTTTCCTTGCGGATTTGGCAGCGTTCCTCCTTCTAAACCGGAATTAAAAGCTGTCTTACGCACACTGCAAATGTCAACTAATGCTCACTAACTTTGGTTTATTTAACAAAGTCCGGACAACTTTTAAGGGGCCCATATGATGACATTTTCTGGTCCTAAGGAAAAACAGTGAAATCATGATTGACAAGAAAAAATGCATGAAAATGGTTACTGTCACTTTAAATTGCCACGAAACTTTATGTAACTCACCTTTTTGTTGTATGTGCTTTCTTCATCAGCCACAAAACATCTTATTGACGAGTTCCAGACCTTTGGGAGACATCCGGATCGTGGACTTTGGCCTCTCCAGACGCATGGATAGCATCACGGAAGTCAGAGAAATTTTGGGAACGCCGGAGTATGTGGGTGAGTGTCTGCTGCTAAAATACCAAAACCGAGCGGCACCTGCGTCATTTCAAAGATGAAATGTTTTGAGTCTGAGTTTCATTTTGGCCTTGTGTTTTCATTGCAGCTCCGGAGATCCTGAACTATGAGCCCATCAGCACCGCGACAGACATGTGGTGAGTAAAGGCCAGACTTCACTCATTTAGAGCAGGATTACTGGAATGATATCACTTGACCATGTTGTGGATAAAAAAGGTCTAAACAGGGTCTACAGAACAACTTCCAGGATCATACCCAAAAGCCAAATTGGGTCTAAAGCAGGTCTAAAGCAGGTCTAAAGCAGGTCTAAAGCAGGTCTAAAGCAGGTCTAAAGCAGGTCTAAACGGAGACAAAACCTTGAACTGTTTCTGGACCAGACCAAGACAAGACCAGGACCAAACCAAGTCTTCATTTGGTCTAAACTGGGCTAAAACTTGGATCAAACAGAGACGAGTGAGAATGTGTGAAAATCTGTGCTGAACCAGGTCTAAACTAGGTCTAAACCAGGACTAAACAGGGTCTATAGCACAACTTCTAGGATCACACCCAAAATCCAAAATTAGGTCTAAACCTGATCTAAACTGGGTCTAAACTGGGTCTAAACTGGGTCTAAACTGGGTCTAAACCGGGTCTAAACCGGGTCTAAACCGGGTCTAAACCGGATCTAAACCGGATCTAAACCGGGTCTAAACCGGGTCTAAACCGGGTCTAAACCAGTTCACAAAATTAATCTCTGTCTTAATAAAATTTGAATTAATACAAAATCATGCACTAGTTGCTACTTATTTATCAATACAAATAAATACAATAATATTAAGATGATATTGCATGTTATTCAGACATTTAGTTAAATTTCTCGTCCAAAACAGATCTTTACCCCCATATTGATAGATTGATATATTGATATATTTTCACATTTCTTTCGCAGGAGTATCGGCGTGCTCATCTACATCATGCTGACGGGAGAATCTCCATTTTTGGGCGACAATAAACAAGAGACGTTCCTGAACATCTCCCAAATCAACGTGGACTATTCCGAAGAGACGTTTGAAGGCATTTCCCCGCTGGCTGTGGACTTCATCAAAACATTACTGGTCAAAAATCCAAGGTATGAACACAAACAATAATTAATATAGTACAATATGTGATTCTACAGCTTAGATCTGTGGAGAGGCAACCCTGCTCACATCAGAATACCTGTTTTTCTAGGTGTTCTTGAGCTATAAAACCACCTGTAATTGAATAAATTTAAGATAGACCTGTTTAATGTCATACTGTGCAACATTTCAGGCTGAGCAATGACACGCCCCCTACCAAAAAGTTTCATAGTGCAGCTTGAAAACTTAAATTGCAAATCGCCTGTCATGAAAATTACAATAAAAGTCCTAATACGTCAATAGTGTGTTTGATGAGCAGATAGCTGTGGTAATGAGTAAGTAACAGGAACTGCATCCTCTGAGCTGTCTATGTGCAACAGGATGTGCGTAAAATGAGTCAACACCAGCTTCCTTTTTATGCAAAAACTTCAAACGCTTGTAAAATAAAATGAATCAGGCGTGATGGGTTTGAAATGAGTGCTTACGTCACTGTAAAGGTATTTCAAAAATGCTGAATGAATCTAAATAAGTACTATTATTGTTAAAATGACATAAAAAAACAGTACAGTGGTTTATTACAAACATTTTAGGCTCCCGTGTTTTATATATTTGGATTTTAAAGTTAATTTAAAGCTGCTCTAAGTAAGTTTTGCCTTCAGCGTGTCTCCATGGCGATTGTATTACTTTGAGAAAATGCATTGTGAATATAAGCAGGCTCGCCTCTCCGTAAAACTGACTTTTAACCCTCCTGCTTGTTTCCATGGAGATATACTTTGATGCCATATAAGCAAGACTCCAGACAGTCCCAAGTTACGTAGTGCGCCTTTTAAAAGAAGCATTGCTGGTTTGTAAAATTCAAAAGTATCTTACTACGAATATTTGGACTCTGCATTTTTTCTCAATTGACACTGCCCTTGCTGCACTCAAAGTAAAGTAGTATTCACAGTACCACTAAACATATTTTTATGATTAAAGTTCTGACCATGCCAATGAGGTCCAGAGAAAAATGCAGTTTAATTTGTTGCCATGGTTTCTCTATTAAAAAGACGAAGGCATTTGGCTCAAGTCCTTTTAAGTTTGCTCCAGCCCTTGATTCGGAGTCAGCATTGTTTAATTGGAGGAGATTAGTGGTCTGGAAAAGCGCTAGACTCTTGGACGTTTTTTTAGTAATTATCGTGAGACTGGCGGAAAAAGTAGAAAGTGTTTTTATTTGTGGCGTTCGAAACCAAATTGGAATAAAAATGAGAAGGAAAACGGTTAGGAATGGCCTCTATAAACTCTATGGGAAATTCCCTTCTTGTTTTGTTTGGTCGCAAATAGTTCGAGACCAGAATATCATTGGTCAGTGGTTTAGCGCTCTCGGCCAATAGGAAAAGGTTGTGGGCGGGACTACAGCCAAAGATGCACAACAATAACTGTACTACACAACCAAGCTCTGGAGGGATTTTAAAACCAAGAGATAGTCAAAATATAGACATTAAAGGTGTGTTCTGTAACTTTTCTGGTCTGGAATGTTTCACAGTATAGCATTAAACCTTTCTATCTTCACGGAGACCAAACCAGACCAAGTTACAGGTCAGATCTGTGGAGAGCCGACCCCGCTCAGAGTCAGAATTCCTGTTTTTCTAGATATTTTTTGAGCTATATTGTCGTATTGCGGAACATTCCAGGGAGAGCAATGACATCTCCATAGAAACAAGCAGGTGACGGACCCCCAACCAACAAGTTAAATAGTTACTAATTGTTTAGTTAATAAAAATTTTTGGGTAATAAAAAAAGTTGTGTAGCTGAAATAGAGAAAGATGGAAGGAGAGAGGTTTTAGTAGTAGTAGTAGTAGCAGTAGTAGCAGCAGTAGTTGCAGTAGTAGTCGTAGTTGCAGTAGTAGTCGTAGTTTCAATGGTAATCGTAGTTGCAGTAGTAGTAGTAGTAGTAGTAGTAGTAGTAGTAGTAGTAGTAGTAGTAGTAGTAGTAGTAGTAGTAGTAGTAGTAGTAGTAGTAGTAGTAGTAGTAGTAGTTCAATAGTAGTAGTAGTAGTAGTAGTGGTAGTTTCAATAGTAGTAGTAGTAGTAGTAGTAGTAGTTTCAATAGTAATAGTAGTAGTAGTAGTAGTAGTTTCAATAGTAATAGTAGTTGTAGTAGTAGTAGTAGTAGTTTCAGTAGTAATAGTAGTAGTAGTAGTAGTAGTTTCAATAGTAGTAGTAGTTGTAGTAGTAGTAGTTTCAATAGTAATAGTAGTTGCAGTAGTAGGAGTAGTTTCAGTAGTAATCAGTAGTTGCAGTAGTAGTAGTAGTAGTAATCGTAGTTGCAGTAGTAGTAGTAGTAGTTTCAGTAGTAATCGTAGTTGCAGTAGTAGTAGTTTCAATAGCAATCGTAGTTGTAGTTGCAGTAGTAATCCTAGTAGTAGTGGCAGTAGTTGTACTAGTTGTTGCAGTAGTATTAGTTGCAGTAGTAGTTTCAGTAGTATACATTTGCAGTGCACCGTGATGGGTTTGAAGTCTCTGTTGAAATTCAAAACAAAACATTAATATTGTGATACCTGCTGAATGGTCAAAAGTCCTACAAATGGCGTCCTTAGTGTTAGAAGATTATGTAACGGACAAACATTTGAACCTGAGTCTAAATGTCCTGTGTTGTTTTTTGTTGTTTTTCAGAGTGCGTGCCACAGCAGAGGAGTGCCTGACCCATCCCTGGCTCTGCCCCGTGTCCCGCCCACATCTTCACAACTCCTCTTCCACCTCCTCTTCCTCATCCCTTCGCTCCTCGCTGGACGAACCCGAGACCAGCCAATCGGAGTCCGAGCCCGAGAGCCCCGCCCCCTCCCCCGAAATCGACGTCATGGAAACCTACTCCTTACTGTGTCCGGGCAAAGGCGAGCTCAAAACGGGACGCGACACTTTCTCTTTCAGCGAATCGCCGTTTCCCACCCGACCGGAGATAAAGCAGGAACTCATCTGCTGAACTTAAATTATTGGACGATGACTCCGTTTTGAGGACCTTTTTTTTTAGGCTTGAAAAATGTGGATTCCCGTTAAAAAGACGGCACTCGAACTCACCGCAGCCTTACTTAGCGAAGGGCAGTTGGGTTTCGTGCTTTTTCACCTTACATGAGCAGTTGGAAATATTTCTTACTTACAAAGGACTATGCAAATTTGACTGATTGATTGAATAAAACCCTTTACAGCGCCCCCTGGTGTATTTCAGTAAAAACAGGTTTGCTATAATAGGACTTTTAGCACTGCATCCATAAAATACCTGATCACACAATTTAGGGTTTTTTACTGACAAAGGTGTACTATGTAACTTTTTATGAAGTTGAGGGGTCACCATCTGCTCGTCTCCACGCTAAGCCTAGAATGTTCCGCAGTATGGCTTTAAACGTATGCATCTCCATGGAGACAAGCAGGCAGTTACAGGTCAGGTCTCATGTACTTCTGTAAATGAATAAATGTAAAGCTATTAAGTTAACGTTTTACTTTGGGACATTTCAGGCGAAACGATAACATTACCACAGAAACAATGAGAGGTTACGCGGCTCACTTTTAGCTAGAGGTACAATAATGGACTATATTTCTCTCTGAACTGTAGGGGGCGCTCCGTTAAGACTTAAACGTGACAAAAACTGCAAAAGACATGTCCAAGTTCTTCTTAAAATGAGAAAGTATTTGAGAGAAGACATTGTATTATTGATGCTTGTAGTATTGCTTCCATTATTTTCTGTTAAGATGGTTGATACACAGCAAAGTCACTCTTAAGTAGTAATATTTTAAAGCAATGAACTGTATTTTTGAAGTAATCCTGTATGTGGTGTTTGTAAAGAGTACAGCATTATTGTCCACTGAAATTGCCTGAATTTGTATATTTTATTTATTTATAATGAAACTTTTGGTTGGACAGTTGATGCTCGTGTAACAGAGCCTAAGTTAAAGGTGCATTGTGTAACTTTTTGGGTCCGTCACCTGCTTGTTTCTGCCTGGAATGTTCCACAGTGTGACATTAAGCAGTTGTATCTTACATTTATTCTATTACAGGTGGTTTTATATCTCAAAAATGCATAGGAAAACAGGCATTCTGACTGAGCGGGCTCGCCTCTCTGCAGATCTGACCTGTAACTTAGTCTGGTTTCGTTTAATGCCACACTGCGAAACATTACAGACAAAGGAATACCACCAGAAAAGCTACACAATGCGCCTTTAACTTTGCGGATTCACTTCTGAATTGGCAGAGACGTACAGTGTTTTGGACCATTTTCAAAACACAAAATCTTTATTTAAAAACTCACCGCTTACAGTGTGTTCATGTGCTCATTGAAATACAGCGGACAAATTTGTACTGCATTTTTCTGAATTTTCTGACATTGTTAAGTTTCCAAATGAAGCCACAAATAAAGTTTATTTATTGTTACGTATTTTAATTTCAGTTTTTATTATTTTTTTTACAATTACCACATACAACTTAAATACTACAAAAATATATACATTTTTATTTTTGTAATTATTATTATTATTATTTTGTTCTTAAAGGCGCTGTACCTGATTTACTGCCTTAAAAACCTGAAAAACAGCACAATTTTGCCGTTTGAAGTCGTCCACGATGACTTTATAAGAGCTTTTCACAACTTTCAGACACCAGAGCAGAGTTTTGCCATCACAATAAAGGAAACTAACTACAACTAGCATGCTAACCACAAACTTCCTGATTATCGGACAGTAAAACGTTTTATAATTGGATGCAGTTTGCTCAAATGCACAGCGGAGGAAAAATCAGGTACTGGCCCTTTAAGGATTTCGTAGCACTTTTAATTTTATTTTTAAAGGTTCACTGTGTAACTTTTCGGGTGGAGGCTGGATACGTTTAACGCAATCTCCAAGCGCCACACCCCAACCCAAAAAGTTCCATACTGCATCTTTTAGTCCCAAACATTTGCGTAATTTTTTATTTTGTAAAAATGAAAACCCAACACATCAAAATTTCAGATTTAAAAACGATTTCCTCAGCCTTCACTCTCGCACAAGTTGCACATTTTGTTTTGTATTTTACCCATAAATTTCATATATTTTTAATGCAAAACTGGGGATAGAAGGAATGTCTTTTATTAAAATATCTGTAATATAACATAAATATAATAATGATATGAGAAATGAGGAAAAAGGACATGTTTCTCCCATTGTACTGAACAGTGTAAATAGTTGATTTCGTATTATAGTTTGTTAATATTTGAATCCTTTTTCCAGTGTCTGTTTTCTGTTTTTGAGTTATTTTTGTAACTGGTTTTGTTTTGTACTGATCGTGAATTTCAGACTGGTTTGCACTTGTGGTCCTCGTGGACAAAATGGCAGAAATGATTAAAGTATTTTGTGTATGACGTGTTTCAAAAATAAAAATTAAACACATTTTTATCACATTTTTGGTCTTTGAGAATTTTTTTTTTTTATCTTTAAGGAACTGTTTTTAGAAGAAGAAATGTAAAGTACTGCAGTTAAAGCACGATCACTTTTTGGTTGAGGGTCCGTCACCTGCTTGTTTCTATGGAGATGTCATTCCTCTGTCTGGAATGTTCCACAGTATGACATTAAACTAAATATTAAGGATTATTCGGACATGTGTGAATGAAACAAAATGCAATTCCAGGGATGTTTTTGAAGGCAGGTTTTGCACACGAGGCGTTTAAGCTGGACCACATCTGTTTTCCTTCTTTACCTACTTCCCAAACTCAGCATCCCAAAGTCCATAAAAGCTCCTCTCTGGGGTCAGCTTTCCGTAAATAACATCCGGAAATGCCACAGAACAGAGGAACACCGACGAGCACTTCCACACACACACACACACACAATTCCTGCTCATTCTTCAGCCTGTTTACGTGTGACGCTTTTGAACAATATCCTCAAAATTCCACCTTGAATGGTTTTCTTCCTTCTCCGGAGAGAGAAGAAGAAAGAGGAGGAGAGAGGAGGAATAGGAGGAGGTGGGTAAGGAACAAAAGGAGTGAGAAGGAGGTGGAGGAAGAGGAGAAGGACGGGGAGGAGAAGAGAGGAGGTGAAGAAGGAAGAGAGGGAGTACAAGGAGAAGGAGGAGGAGGAAGAAGAGGAGAAGGAGGTGGAGGAGGAGGAAGAGAAGGAGGCAAAAGACAAAGAAAGAAGAGGAGGAGGAGGTGGGGAAGGAAGAAAAGGAGAAAGGGGTGGTGGAGGAAGAGGAAGTGAAGGAGGAAGAGAAGGAGGAGGACAAGAAAGAAGATGGGGAGAAGAAGGAGGACAAGGGGGAAGAGGAGGAGGAGAAAGAACGGCGAGGAGAAGGGGGAAGAGAACGAGGGGGAGCAAGAAGAGAACAAGGAGGACGAGAAAGAAGAGAAGAAGGAGGAGGAAGAGAAGAAGGAAAAGGAGAAGGAGGAGGTGGAGGACAAGGAGGAGAAGGAGGAGGAGAAGCCAAAAGATGAGAAGAAGGAGGAGGTAGAGGAGGGGGAGGAGAAGGAGGAAAAGGGGAGGAGATGAAAGAGGAAGGAGGAGGAAAAGGAGAAGAAGAAAGAGAAAGAGGAGAGAGAAGAAGGAAGAGATGGGGACAAAAGAAAGGGAGGAGGTGGAGGAAGAGGAGGTGAAGGAGGAAGAGAGGAGGATGAAAAGGAGGAAAAAGAGGAGGAGAAGGTGATGGAGGAGGAAGAGGTCGAGGAGGAGAAAGAGAAGGAGGAGAAAAAGCCAAAAGATGAGAAGAAAAAACGAGAAGGAAGGGGAGGAGAAGGAGGAGCAGGAGGAGGAAAAGCAGGAAGAGGAGGAAGAGGAGGAGTAACTAAGACCTCTTTTCTATACCTCCACGACTCAGCAAAGGAATTTGAAAAATGTCCATGATGTTGTTTGTTATCCTGTGCCGGGGGTCTGCTGTTCCACTGTCCACTTTCACTTTAGATCAACAAGATCAACAGATAAAGACAGGGCTTTTAAAGGTGCACTGTGTCACTTTTCTCGTGGAGGGTCCAGCAAAGACTTTTCTTGGAGGTCAGATCTGCGGAGAGGCGACCCCGCTCACAGTCAGAATGCCTGTTTTTCTAAGTATTTTTGAGCTATAAAACCACCTGTAACTGAAAAGTAAAGTAGATCTGATTAATGTCACACTGTGGAACATTCCAGGCAGAGCAATGGCATTTCCATCTGTAACCGAGGGGTAATTTATAAGTTTGATTATACAGGTAGGATGAAGTGAATGATCAAAGAGAGACAGAGTTTTAGGTTATTAAAAATAAATCACTCATTATTAATATTATTCGGGCTAATAAATACTTCTCACAAAGAGGGCGAAGACTAAAAAATGTTCAAATACTCTGGGTGATCTGGCAGCGGGCGCACGTGGCAGAGGCCCAAACTTTACGAGATAGAGCACTCACCACGCTCTGCGCAACACCCACACACACACAAATAAACACAACTTGCTCGGAAAACTAAAACATGCAAATATGTGAAGGAAGTGCAAAAGAATACCACAGCACAGGAGGGGTGATGAAGCAGAAGTGAGAGACCCGATCACCAACCCTCCACCCGACGAGCGTTCGCGGCCAACAAGACCTGGAGCGAGGAAAAACAAAAATCAACACAAAATTACAACTACAAAGAACCAAAAAGAGATTAACAAAACAAATTAAACTGACTCAAAATGTAGTAAATATATGAAATTTGTGAGGAATTTGTGAACCCCCAATAGTAAAAGTTAACCTGATTCATCGGCCAGTTTCACTTCGTGGAAACAGTCTGACCTCGCAGCATTAGGATTCGTTCGCTCGACGGTAAGGTGGGTACTTTTTTTATTTAACCAATCACTTTTATTTGGTCGTGATGTATGTAATGCGCTGCTAACAGAGCTAACTGGTATATTAAGCTTTTCCCAAATCCCTTAGGAAGAAGGACAATAACATCTTTCCCCTTGATGAAATTCACCAAACATTCTCTTTGTTTCGACTTTAAATCCTCGATCTCGGGAATCGTTGCCAACACAGAATGTATGGCTCTTCGCTGATTGGCTGGTGCCCGAACTCGCACTTTCAGGGTTTTTGCGAACTGTCTAGTGTATTCTGATTCCTGACCTAATCGCTGGAGAGAAATGAAATTGAGTGGAGGCACTAGGTGGCGCAGTAAAAGTCCCATATTTTGCGAAACAGTTTTTCAAGCATTGCCCTAGCACAGAAATATTATATAAGCAGCTAAAACAAGTCTTCTGTGTACTGTCTGCATTTACTTCTAAATCGTTCTATTGTCCAATAATCAGAAAGTGCACTATTGGCATGCTAGTTGTTGTTAGTATTACAGCAAAGCTCCACTCTGGTTTCTGAGAGTTGGGAAAAGCACTTATAAACTTATCACGGTGAGTTAAGATGATGAGTAACTTTGGACAACTGCAAACTGTTTCAAATGAACTTGTTTTGTTTTTAAGGTTTTTTAAGAGTAAAAATCAGGTACAGCGCCCAGAGGATGAGTTAAAACAGCTGTTGACTTGCATAGACCAGGCTTTGATGTGGAAGAAGTTACTAAAAATACGTATAAATATTAGGGTAGTATGTCTTCTTAATGTTGTTTCAGAGTCCAGATGCTTTGAAGTCTTTTGTGGAAAATGCAATGTCCAAAAGCCATTAACCTTATCTGGAGAGTCTAAATATTTCTGAGAGTGAAAACAGAAAGAAATTTTGGAACATTTCGCAAACAATTTATCACAAAATGGAAGTAAATAAACAAAAACCAACTGGACACTAGTTTCTAAAACCAATATTTCACCATGGACCTATCATCATGTTCCTGGAGGTCTCGAAATGCATGACATACTGAAATTATAAATGGGAAAAAAAAAAAAAAAAAACTACAAACAGTGCAGTTTTGTGGTTATTTTTAGTTTGTACATGCTGTTTCGGCAAGAAAAAAATGCACATTTAATAGAGGAAAACCCTGCCATTTTACCAGAGGGTCACAGGTTTGAATCCCAGACTACATTGGATTTTCTGGTGGAGTTTGCAAAAAGCATGCACTGTAGTAAGTAAGTAAGTCTTTATTTATATAGCGCTTTTCACAGACATTTTTGTCACAAAGACACGTTACAGAGCATTATTCATTCACTCATACCTGGTGGTGAGCTACTATTGTAGCCACAGCTGCCCTGGGGCAGATTGACAGAAGAGCAGCTGCTATGCCAATCCATGCCATCGGTCCCTCCAACCACCACCACCGACGCACACACCACTTTCATACTACACAATGTGGGTGAAGTGTCTTGCTTAAGGACACAACAACAGTTATTCTCACTGGTGCCCCACTGTGGCTCCTGATTTTCCCAGTGTCTCCCATCCAATTACTAACCAGGCCCAGCCTTGTTTAGCTTCTGAAATCTGACAGGATCAGGCTTTGATAAGCCGGTAGTCTAATACTCCAGCTACTCCTGACTTACTGTAGTACCTGTAGAAGTATTCACAGATATGTAAAATGTAATTTTATTTATTTATTTTTTTTTTACCGGGGGAACCATATACTGAAGATGCACTACGTAACATTTCCCATCTAGGATAGGCTACCTGCCTGTCTTCATACAGATGTTATTGCTTTGTCTAGAATGTTACACAGTACTCCTATGGAAAACATGCAGGTAGGTAGACCAAGTTAAAGTCAAATTTATGGAGAGACGATCCACCGTAAGAATGCATGTTTTAGGTGTTAGCAACAAAAACATAGATGTGTTAAATGACATACTGAAAACCATTATAGTAACCTACAGTAGAGGAACATAACAAAGTAAAAATAATAAAATACTGTAAATAAGTAAAAAAAAAAAAAAAGTATCTGTACTTTACTTTTACTTCACTACACTTTTTACTTCACTACATTTGAGAGCAGGTATCTGTACTTTATAGCCAGGCTGGTGCCGACTATTTCCTTCGCTCAATTTCATTTCTCTCCAGCAACTAGGTCAGGAATCAGAATACACTAAATGATTTGCAAGAACCCCGGAAGTTGCAGACGACGCACCAGCCTATCAGCAAAGAAATGTGAAGCCATGACGTCAAACTCAAGCGCCTGTCTGGGTCCCTTTTGTGGAACAGCACAACAGTAAACAAAGCGGTCGAGATGGATGTAGACGAAGACAGACATTCTGTGTTGGCAACGATTCCCGAGATCGAGGATTTAAAGTCGAAACAAAGAGAATGTTTGGTGAATTTTATCAAGGGGAAAGACGTTATTGACCCTTCTTCCTACGGGATTTGGTGCATTACATACGTCACGACCAAATAGAAGCAACTGGTTAAATAGAAAAGTACCCGCCTACCATTGAGCGAACAAATCCTAATGCTGCGAGGTCAGACGGTTTCCACAAAGTGAAACCGGCTGAAGAATCAGGCTATGTACTTTCTTCTCCACTACATTTTTGAACAAGACTGAAAAG